CTATAATTTACCTTCTGAGTCTAGAGAATGCAGAGAATGATTTCTTTCCCTCTCTGAGCATGAAGGGGATAATTCTCTTGAACCTATCTTTCAAAATAGTTATTTAGAGCTCTGAATTCGGGCTGTTATTGAGCCTTGGCACTATCACTGGGATGATCCTTTTGGTAGCTAATTACTTTACATAGGAAGTAGGGTACCTTCTTACTGCCCCACGTCAGCCTACTGTAATGCCTCTTTACACTGTGCATCTGCTTCCCAATCCTGTCCTTTGCTGATATTGGACTTTCTGTTTGTATTAATGAGTACATCCATTTATTCACTAATTTTATAAAATTTTCTTTCAAATTACATATGATATTTATCACCTGCTCTGCACTAAATTTTATTTTAGTGGGTAAATGAAGGAAGAGATTTTGCAAGATCAAAGGGCAGCTGTGATCTTCTTATAATGCACAACCTCTTCCCTGAATCAGGTTGATTGGTGATAGATTGTATCCAGTAATAGCAGTCAAGAAAAGTAATTCCCTAGGATTTCTGGTTTGACATCTTAGCCGAAGACATCATTTTGGGGACAGTAAAATATTACCATCTGTTGTTAATTTTGTTCAATAGGCAACCCACCTATCTTCCTTGGGAGAAGATCTAGAAAATAGTCAGCTAGCTCAGGAGTGCTTTTAAAATCAATCAGCAAATATTTGAATGTTTAATATATGCAAGGACCTTTGTTCAGTGCTACACAAGAGGCAGTCTTTGATTCTTCTCTCTACATACTCCTCATCAACAACCTGCCTCCCACAATGTTCTGATAACTCTGAAATCTGCCAACTCTGATACTTATCTCCTAAATTCAAGGACTGAATTTCCAAATGCTACCAGATATCATAACAATAGCTAAACTCAAAATTTCAGGAAAGCAATATTATTTCCCTATTATAGAGGTTCATTTTACTATTCATGTGACGATTTGGAGGGGCGAATCCTGGAAGGATTAGGGAACACATTTAAATAGTTTTAGTGATTCAACCTTGAAGTATGTAAATTTTAAGCTTGAATGATGAGAACTGAAAATAAGAGCCAATTCTAAGTAATTCTTCAGGTTAAAATATAGGCAAGGAATGGTATTAAATTACACTGTGTTTTCCGTGATTTCAACATGACTTCAAGGTTTGGAGTCTTAATGTTGTTGCTTAATCGCTAAGTCATGTCCTAATCCATGTCCTGATAATGGGAATCTAATAGTGTCTTTGTTAGAAGTAAAATACACTGGTGTCTGAAAGGATGATCAACCAAGTTCACTTAAATGCTAATAAAAATGTCTTGGTAACATCCAACTAATGGTTTTTATTTGTGGATCTCACACTATTTACCTCACCTTTCCACAACTCAAGAGATAGAGACAAAAAAGGAAGGAACTAATATATATGGATCATGTGTTTGGCTCCTACCTAATTTTCAAAACAAGACTGCTTAACAGGACTTTCCCCTTCATTACAAATGAGGAAATTGAAGCAGAGAAATTAGGTGGATTAGCTTTATACAATCAGACTCTGCAAAACTGTCTAGATTCACTCATTTGGTTGAATTTGCTACTAAGCCTTACCCTACCAGCCCCCACTGCCTTAGTCCCTGGTTGACTTATAGGTATAGGTAGCAGATCAAGGGAAGCAAATTCATCTACCCTCATTTTCTGAAACAAACGTAAAAACCAAACAGTAAGCCAAACCAAATTGGCACTTCCTTCTGCCTTCATTAATGCCAACAGTATTCTACCTCACAAAGGACTAAACACCATGGAACCATCTTTGACTTTATCCTCCCATAACTGGTCATTTACTACTAAGTCCCTTTGCTTCTTCCTTAATTCTTTCTCTCGTGTATGTTGCTTTCTTTCCCTTTCTATTGTCAACATCCTAGGGCATTACCTGTTTCTAAGACCTTTTGAAAACTTAACTAACAGTATTCTTGTCCCTAGTCTCTTTTTCAACAAGTCATACATACCACTCTCAATATGACCTAAGAGGTGGCCTGGTATAGAGTCTGAATTCTGTAGCTAAAATGCCTGAGTTCAGAACTTCAACATACAATTTGACTCTGTACAAGTTATTTAGTATTTCTGTGCTTCACTTTCCTCATTTTTAGGAGACTAATGTGAATAATGTGTTTTCCTGGTGGCTCAGATGGTAAAGAATCCACCTGCAATGCAGGAGGCTCAGGTTCAATCCCTAGGTCAGGAAGATCCCCTGGAGAAGGGAATGTTTCCCCACTCCAGTATTCTTGCCTGGACAATTCTATGGACAGAGGAACCTGGTGTGCTATAGTGTCATAAGGTCACAAAGAGTCAGACATGACTGAACGACTAACACACAATGTGAATAACCATTTCCTAGGGTGGTTTTGAGAATCAAATCCACATATATGTATGTAACAGATTTCAAGAACAGAGACTGGCACAGAGTACTCAATGTTAATTGTTGTTATTGTTACTATAATTATTAAAGTACTTTCGGTCACATTATTTTGGTTGGGGGTGGTATTGGAAAAAAAATCAAATCCATGCTGTTTTGGGTTTGTAGACCAAGCATTGAAATACAAAGCCCAGAAACAGTAGACCAAGCATTGACATACAAAGCCCAGAACCAGATATGAATGCAACACAGGTATGAATGAAAACAAATGATATTAGAACTGAAGCAAGACTAAAAATATCTATGTAAGCTTAGGTTTTAAATTCCTTGTGGATCTCACACCAAAGCTACCCTGGTGTTCAGGGTTCCTATAGGTCTTAAAGGGCATAGCCAGAAGGGAGGTATATGGTGACTAGCACCTGGTCCAGGTAGTTCTGTTGTTTTTTTAACCATCAGGGAGACTGAAAAATTCCTACTTCTTAAACATATATTAATAAAATAATAGAAAACTTGCTTCTGTGCTAATGATAGCCAGGTAACAGTAAAACGAAAGTAAAAAGTGGAAAAGGATTTGGAAACAGGGATAAAGGCATAAATGAAGGCAGAAAAAGACGTAGGGCCTTGGGTAGATTCCCACACAAATTTACATGTGGGAGATTAGATTTGTTCATTCTTGGAGACTTTAATGTGGTTAGCTTCCAATTTTTATTGCATTTACATGGACTCTAAAGTGACTTTAATTCAAATTCTGCCCCTAGGTATATACCTCATATATTCCTAACCTATAAACCTTTTCTCACTTCATTCTTTCTGTCTACAACTTCTTTTTGGTCCCTGTTTGTTTTTGCTTGCTCACTCATTTTCTCTCTCTCCTTCTCTCTACTTGCCTAATTTTTATTTATCGATTTGTATCCCCTCTACTGTGAAGCCTTCATTAAACGTTGTAGTCATAGAGTTTAAAGTTTTGTCTTATTTCAGTGAACATCTCCAGCACTTAATTTCTATTTACCCATTTAGAATCATAGGCTAGTTTTATTGTTAGCTATAGTTATCAAGTGATTGTGTTATGAGTTTTAGGCTATATTGGACACTTTTTGTGAGTAGATGGTGTGTCTTATACTTACTATGCGAGTACTGAAAAAAACAGTAGGATGCTTTGAATATTCCCCTGATTGTGTTTTTGCAAAGCTATTGATGAGTGATATCACCTACATTTCAGACATAGTAACAGGGATATTCCCAGTATACTTTTATACATCTGCCTATGAAAAGCATGAATGCATATAGGAGGATTAGCAGACAGCAAAGGTTAATTTTTGGAGAGGCAGACACCCATGGTTAATGACAAATTTTATTTCAAAGAGGGAAAATGATAGATTATGCTTTATTTTTGTATTAGAGCAGATAGGGTCTATTTGACAACTCGTTTTGCTGCTTTTGAGGGGTATTTTGTCCCCTTAAGAACTCTTAGTTTAAGAGTCCTTAAACTAAGGACTCTTATTTATGTTGTCAAATTATTTTCATGTTGTCTACAGTAATCCCTTGCCTACTCTGTGACTGGCATTTGTATTTAAAAAAGCTAAGCTATATGTAAAAAATAAAATAATTAGGATTGTTAATAATTTCATTGTGTATGTGCTTGTGTATATTCTTATGTGTTGACCCTCCACCCACCTCTCTCCCAGAATTAATTTGGTGAATGAAAAGTAGTTAAATAACCTGGAGTTATGGGAAATTAAAGACTGAAAGAAATTATTATTATAGGAATTATACCAAAGGGAATAGAGAATGTGGACCCATACTATGAGACAAGTAAAACCTAACTTGAACTGTTTTGAAGAAAACCAATATAAAATTCTTGAATAATGTACCTAAAAGTAAGTTCATGTACTTTTACCATAACTTATTTAACATCAACATTCTGTCAAGCAGGTGAAATTCTTTAGAGCATATATAAATATTTAATATATTTTATTAATATAGATCATAGGTTTAAAATTATTAGATGCTCAATCAGAGCTAGTCTTCTAGCTCTGGTTTAAAACAGCATAGAAATAGGTAACAGTGAAGCCACATTTTTTTTAGGAAATGTATTTCCACTTATATTATCTGTCATCATATATGTTTTTTTATATGTGGCCCAGCTGTTGATTCAACTCAATGTTATATTTGTGCATTTTCATGGTTCACCTCAGGGACAGATTTTTGGCACTTTAAATGTTATTGGTGACTAATGATTATGCAATTAACATCTAGCAGCTGGCTAGCTTCAATAATATTTTCTTAATGCTATAAGGATGATTTCATTTATTCTTTGAAATCAAACATGTATTTTTTTAACTTTTGAAAAAAATACCCTTTTGAAATGTCTAAAACAGAATAATATTTGTTAAAGTGTTCTGGAGAAGGAACTACAACTGTTAAAACCCAGAGAGAATTCATTTTATTCAAAAATTTTACAGTATCATCTATAAAATGATCCACACTAGAGAGAAAAATAATGGGCTATATAAAATATTTATTTATTTATTTATTTATTTATTTATTTATTTGCATGTATATATATAATCTCATACAGCATTCCTTATCTTACAGATGAGCTCAGTGAAAATGTTGCGGCCTCGTCTCAATAGCATTCTTTTCAAGCTCACATTTGAAGAACATGTAAACAACATCAAGCCAAGCATCATAGCAGTAACTCTGGCCTGTGAAGAACTGAAGAAAAGTGAAAGCTTTAACAAACTTTTAGAGTTAATTCTTTTGGTTGGAAACTACATGAACTCAGGCTCAAGAAATGCCCAGTCTTTGGGTTTTAAGATCAACTTTCTCTGTAAGGTAAGAGAACATCTTATAATGCCAGTTTAGAACAATAATCTCATTTATGAAAGAGAAGTCACTTTAAACACCAATAATATGTAAGCCAAAAAAAGTATGCTTTAAAAGGATGAATTTTATGGCATGTGAGAGCTGGGTTCAGTCTCTGAATTGGGAAGATCCCCTAGCTAAGGGAGTGACCACACACTCCAGTATTCTGGCCTGGAAAATTCCTTGGACAGAGGAGCCTGGCAGGCTATAGTTCATGGGGTCACAGAGAGCTGTACATGACTGAGTGAAGTCATCTTTAAAAAAGATAAATGATTTTTAAAAACCTTACTATAATAAAATCTCAAAGAATGCAAATTCTTATATGGTATACTGTTCAGCTCTTGCTGATCAAATCTTTCTGGAGTTTTTAGATCCAAAAAAATGGCTTTTATAAACTAGATGCAATGTTATATTTTAATGCCTTCAAACTTATTTTGTGTCTGTCCAGAAATTATTTGAGGAGCTAAGTTCAGTGAGGTAATAGCCAATTATTTCTTTCTGAATATGCTTTGCTTACTCTCTTCTAGGAAAATAATACTCTTTTTTGTTGAAAGTGTTATATTAATAAACTTATACCTAGAATCCAGTGTAATAACTAAAAGTTTTTTAAAAATTAAGTGATAGTCCTCTTATTGTTTTGATAAAACCATTTCATGGTATTGTTCTCGAGGTTTTAATTCTTGTGAAAGTTAAATAAAGAAACGGACAAGTGATGATATAGGTCCATTTCTAGGTTAGTGCAAACCACCATATTCAAGGGAAAAACCTGTCACAAAAAGAAAACTGAACAGACTCTGAGGGGAAGGCCTGTAAGAAAGCTAGAGACAGAAATAAATCTGAAAACAAGCAATCAGTTTTTGACATCTCACCATTGTTTCACTTTTTTTTTCTTTTACATCTGAAAACATTACAAACCTTTGGTTAGTTCTTGAAGTATATTATTACAAGAATCCCCAATCTAGGAATGGATATAAGTTTCTTTTCTATTTAAGCATTAAATAGATGTGCATTACATATAAATGTGCTAGCATTTTAATATGTATCAAAAATGATTTGCTCCTGGTTGTTCTCTCCCAGATAGACATAAAGAATAACATTTGTAGATCAGAAGATGCATAATGAAATTGTATTGTTTACTCCTGATTTATTTTTGAGAGGCATAGGGAAATATGGGAAGATAGGGAAGATGGTCTGGAATGTTAGATTTTTGTTAAAAAACACACATTTTTAGTCCCTCTTCTTGTGATATGAGGGGACATGTGAAATTATTTGATAATGCCAATGAGAATAAAGCAGTGCTTGTAATAAATTAGAATAACTCACACCCTGGTTTGGAGGGTAAAACTAAATAAGACTTTTCATTTTATTGCACATCATATACTCTAAACTTGTACAAGCATCTGTTATCAAGATGTTAGTTGTTTAGAGCATATACTGTAGGCACAGTGAATGAATCTTAAAGTTTTCTTGGTTGGTGATTGCAAAAACATAAATTAAAATATCTTTGGAAATTTGTATTGTTAGTCTGTTTCACATTTAATTCATATAAAGAAGACATTTAAAACAAACTGTCCTAATTTGAACAAATATGTACCTTTTTAAGTGTCTTAATTTCACACTATTCAAATTAAAAATGTGAACTGATTTTATTGAGGTAATAATGAATAAGTCATTTATACATAGGAAGAAAAGATTCCATTAATCTCACAGGATTGTACAGTTGCATGTTATATTTTGGATATAGGCTTCTTCCTGTCATCTTCCTATCAAATGAAAGTTCTTCCACACAGCACTGATCTGACATCTATCACTAGAAGTATGCTCAAAGGATTCAGCACAAAGATTTTTCCCAACTTCAAATAAAATAAAAAATATTCTTGTGGGAAATACTAGCATGTAGTAATAGATGTTGTAAAAGAGAAAGAAGTGAATGTTTAAAAATCTTTTGCCCTCTCCCATTTTTCAGTAGGATTTTTATGTTCAGGGGAATACTTGTCATTAAGAAAGAGAAATATCATATATATGTATGATATTCCCACAATATCTAGGATTAAAAAGATGTTCCTGAAATGGAAAAGGTTCTAAGTAGATATAAATGTCTAAAATGAGAGAAATTTACTGAAGTATGTAGAAATAGTTAGCGTAAATTTATAATCTGTTGGAAATTGAGTAAACTACTGATGTATGATTGGCTAGAATTGCTGTTAAATTCCAGTTATATTTTAAAAGATTACTTGGTTGATTTTTCCTAGTATTTTTCCTTAATAGCAGAGGGGGCTTTCTTTGCTGGGTACTGACTATACTTTTAAAATGATATCACTTGCCTACATAAATTATTCTAATGATTATTTCCTTTCTTGGTGAATTTAAAACTATATTCTTCTACTTTCCATAAGAAGCTATAGATTATGTTAAAAATATTAATATAGTTTAAAATGAGCCATGTCATAAGCAGTTAAATTTATCAGATGTTTCTTGTAGTAAAATGATATTAAAAATTCAGATGGTCACAATAAGTACTACCCTCATCACAAAATGCTTTGCTAATTTGCAGCAGTGTGTTATCACTGTAAGTCACCAATGTAGGGTGTTGAACTGTAATAAAATCATTTCTCTGCAGATGAGTTTCCAATGTTAGCTTGGCCTATGCTTACCTGTTGATTATTAAAATTCTAACCAATAGTAATCTTGTGCTTCAGGGTCATTTGTTATTTTTGTTTTCAGTGTATAATAACATATAATCTACATTAGAACAAAACATTTAAAAATACTTAGCATAGCTTTCCCTAGACACTGCGCTTTGTGGGTATATCAGATAAGAAATGTGCTTTGCAAGGTAAAAGAGGAGAGTGAAAAAGCTGGCTTACAACTCAACATTCAGAAAACTAAGATCATGGCATCTGGTCCCATCACTTCATGGCAAATAGGTGGGGAAATAATGGAAACAGTGAGAGACTTTACTTTTTGGGCTCCAAAATCACTGCAGATGGTGACTGTACCCATGAAATTAAAAGACACTTGCTCCTTGGAGGAAAAGTCATGACCAACCTAGACAACATATTAAAAAGCAGAGACATCAGTTTGCCAACAAAAGTCCATCTAGTAAAAGTTATGGTTTTACCAGTAGTCATGTATGGATGTGAGAGTTGGACTACAAAGAAAGGTGAGCACCAAAGAATTGATGCTTTTGAACTGTGGTGTTGGAGAAGACTTGAGAGTCCCTTGGACTGCAAGGAGATCCAACCAGTCCATCCTAAAGAAAATCAGTCCTGAATATTCATTGGAAAGACTGATACTGAAGCTGTAACTCCTATACTTTGGCCACCTGATGCAAAGATCCGACTCATTGGAAAAGACCCTGATGCTGGAAAAGATGGAAGCTGGGAGGAGAAGGGGACAACAGAGGATGCGATGGTTGGATTATATCACCGACTCAATGGACATGAGTTTGAGTAAACTCTGGGAATTGGTGCTGGACAGGGAAGCCTAGTGTGCTGCAGTCCATGGGGTCACAAAGAATTGGACATGACTGAGCGACTGAAGTGACTGACTTGCAAGCAACAGAAATTGACTCTGCCTGACTTAAGCAAAAAATGAAATTTATAGAGAAGAGCTCACCCAGAAAGTGAGGAAAGCCTGAAGAAATTGTCCATTAAAGTAGCACCAATTATAGCAGCTTTGAGAATGCTGAAAGCAGGAATGAATGGGAAGTCTTTTCAGAAACGTGTCTCTAGGGTATATTAGTTGTAAGCATTTTATTCCTTCTTTCCCTGTGTTTAATTCAAATTCTAATTAGAAAGAGAGACCAACTGGCCTGGTGTAGAAACTTTTGGACACAGCCAGGGAAGGAGAGGGTGGGCTAATTGAGAGAATAGCACTGACATATGTACAGTACCATGTATAAAATAGATGGCTAGTGGGAAGCAGCTGTATAGGACAGGGAGCTCAACTTGGTACTTTGTGATGACCTAGAGGGATGGGATGTGGGGTACATGGGAGGGAAGCTCCAGAGGGAAGGGATATATGCATACCTGGGGTTTCCCAGATGGTACTAGCAGTACAGACCCTGCCTACCAATGCAGAACATATTAGAGACCGTAGTTCCATCCTTGGGTTGGGAAGGTCCCCTGGAGGAGGACCTGGCAACCCACTCCAGTATTCTTGCCGGGAGAATCCCTTGGACAGAGGAGCCTGGCAGGCTACCATACATAGAGTTGCAATGAGTCAGACACAACTGAAGTGACTTACCAAGCATGCATTGCTGATTCACATTGTTGTATTGTAGAAACTAACACAACATTATAAAGCAATCATCCTCCAATTAAGAATTTTTGAAAAATAGGAAAAAGATTTAAGATCTCAGAAAAGAAAAAGAAGCCATTTCAAGGAAGTATGAAGAGAAATAAGAGTTTAGTTATACAGCAGTCATGAATAAGGAATTTTAGTGATGATTAAAGGAAAAACATCTTCAGTTTCTATGTATCCCTTGTTTTATTTTTCTTGTATACTTGCATTTTCTAGTATGCATTTTGGAATGTACACTGATTACATATTTAAAATTGATAAGTATTATCAAAAAGTACAATAGGTCTGTGTAAATAAATAATAGTTACCAAAAATAAAAATGAAAAGGAATATCCCTTGTCCAAGTGAAGGCATGATTGTTCATGCCTTAAAGGAGTCTATTAACAAGGATCAGGATACCAAAAGGTAGAGACCAGTGAAGGGATAAAAGCCAGGTCCAAACAAAGGCAAACAAAACAGATGGTTGGTATCCCAGGGGCACACATATATTTCAGAAGACACACAGAAAGCTCGAACTTGTGATACAGTTGAGTAGCCTGGAAATATACATACAGAGTATTATGTAATGTTACAATATACTTCTGTCAATGAATATAAAAATTAATAGCATTTGAGATTACTTTGAGCTTAACAAGACTTTAGGGGAGGGAGGAATTTTTGTGCTA